GGTCCAGTAGACTTCAGACGGCGAGTCAATCAATGAATCGATTTCGAGAAGCAACTCGCCCAGTGGAGTACCTCTGCAGAAATGCAGCTTGAATGCTTCCAATGAAGGCCACCATACGTCGTTGTCGCGCACTTCAAACCTCGAGATGAACATATTGATCCGCTACTTATATTACACGGCCGGAACTGCTATCCGCCCACGAGTACCGTGATTCGCCAGAGAACACTTCAACAAGTTGTACACGGATAAAGGAGAGACTTCGAGTACTCCACGAAGTTGTTTCGTCTCGGTAGAATTGTGTTTACTCCTACACGGCTGAGTGAAATCTCTGTCTCGAAGGTTGGGAGGAGGGGGGGGGGGAAACTCACGGGGAAAGCACGCGTCGCAGTCACGGGAATAAAGTGCTTCGGGGAGCTACGCGGAAGATCTTAGGAAACAAAGGGTATAGACCTCGACGTTCTTTCAATCTACGAAAATCTTATCAGGTGTGCGCAAAGAAGTAGGCGAAGAAATCAACGGAATCTTGATGATTTCCCTCGCTATATTTTCTTTATGCATCACGAGGGGCGGGGAGGGGAGGAGATATCCCCGGCAAGGGCAGGAGAAAACGATTTCCTCCCTCCGTATGACCGGGAAAATCGCGTGCTGCAGAAGTTTACCCCGAATTTCCATCTCAGTCAGACCCGGCCCGAGTCGAAGTTGAATCAAAGCTGATCGGTTTTGAACAATCCCTTGAGGTCATAATTTTCTACACAGTTTCTTCCGAATTGAACCTTTTCTGATCTATGGTACCTACAAGTTTCTAGATGCTCGAGCAGATTAACTCACCTTACCCGAAATCCATACGGTAGATTCGACTTGTTTGTCCAGAAAAATATCGTTTCTCGTTCGGGGAATTTAGGAGTGACGAGAGAAAGGGCGAAAACAGGGAGATGACGACGACTAGAAAGTTAAATCACCCACTCACATTTTGAAGTGAGAGTGCAAGAGAGCGGCGGAGCTCAGGCGCCGGTCTCTATACGCTCTAGGCCTTCATGTCTCGCTCGGTGGATCTCGATCCTCAGATCGACACAGGCGACTGGCGGGCAAGCTTCCCTTTCCTCTTGGGACCTTTCCCTCACCGAGGACCTCTTCCTCTCGAGGTCGCGGCCTTCTCAGTGAACGACTAGTCGAGGCAGTGATTTCCAGCAGCCGGCGAGCGACAAGAACTTCTCATCCTCCCGCTGTCCGCAAGTTCATGGCTCCGATCAGCATCTTTCTATACAGCGCGGATTCCCCACTTCCACCGATGTTCGAGCGAAATGATGTCACTCGACCCAAGAAGACGCGTCCGGGGCACGGACTCCTCCTGGAATGACAATCGGGACAGAAGCACGACCCGAAAATTCGAGCTCTCGAACTCATTCGCATGAAAACCTTGGCGACACGCCCGGTTCCCGAGCTTCTGCACTGTATACCCCTCCCCAATCGATATCACGTGGAATCTACCTGACGAGCAGTTTCGCTATCGGATTCCAAGCTCGTTGCCTCGCGGATCGCGTCTATCGGAGGTTGATAGGCATCCGGAACCGAGCGGCCCGTTATTCCAGTTTTATGACGTCACGTTCTTACGCTGCTCGCGATGTAAACATTGCTTATAAAGCTAATGGCCGCCGATGTCACTTTAGCCTTCACCGCCACATAGTGAGTTATGTTGAATGAGTCCCTCGAGGAGCAAGGGAAGCAGCAGCCAGGAGAAAAGCGTTACAACATTCCTGGCTTTCTGCCGCAGCACTTACTTTCAATAGAAAGAAGGACACAAGGCCACTCTGCGCAGCTTGTAGATGACGCTCGCAAAATGCGTCCTCTCGCAAACACAGCCCGGCGCTTGTTGTATCGGCAGCGACGCCGACGTAGCGATGAAGTGAAAATTCGAACACGCAATCGCGACGAGACGACACGATCCCAATTAGGAGCGAACCGCGTCCTGAGCCGCATCGAACCTTTGAGGTTCGGTCCCGGTGTCTGATCGAGCAGCTTTCAGACGAGTCATGTATTCCCCAAACGTGCGCGCAAACATGACGAAACGTACGTACCTACCTACGTAGGTATGCATGAGGAATTCAGTTTTGTCGAACAGAACGGATCCCCGTCCGGCGTCAGCGCCGAGGACGACCGCAACGGTGGCGTGACAACGACAAATAACGCCAGATTATCGACGCAACGCCAACGAACGAACGGAATTCTTTCATGCATTCCTCTACAGAATGCGCTAACGGAGCGATATGCTGGCTTGCCTTGCGGATCCACCGCCAGACGCGAAGCGGTTCGAGAATTGCAAACGAACGGAACCGAGAGGGCTAACTTATGTATTCAGTCAGGGGAGGGGGCAGGGCTTGGGCGTTCGGCTTGGGACGTCTTTTGGGGGAAGGGGGGCGAGACAGGCCTGAAACCTGCTGAGAGTCACCAGTCAGGAGGAGATACATTCATCTCAGGTTGGCTTGTTCTTGCTCGGGTGGTCGCTCTTGCGTCGTCCATCAGACGTTCGAAGATGACGTCCTGCTGTTGTTCTCTTCTTGCTGGCAAGGTCGCTCGAAGATTGCTCCGAGAGGTTCTTTCATGGATCGATAGAGCAAACGGATGCCGAGGAAACCGAGACGACTACGTATCACACGCAAAGACATTCCGTTCTGCGAAGCGAGACCTTTTTCTTGCGCTCAAATCGGGCGAGATTATTCTTCTACTTCAGAATGATCGAATGTTGAAGTGATGCGTATCACTTAGAGTCTGACTCCGGCCCGGGCTCCAAATTCATCCAATGCATTCCCTTCCACGAAGCCAACGCTTGTTTTTCCATCGCCGTCGCAAGCCATGCGAGAGCTCTTCCCTCCGATCCGCCGGGTAAGTCATGAAGCTCTCAAGACTTCGCCGCACAGCTTGCTCGAGTCCTGCCAGAATGCATTCTCCCGAGACTCTTCGTTGCCGCCCCTTGCTCTCGTATCTCCCTGCCGGCTTCTGCTTTCCCTTGCGAGCCTCAGCTCTGGGTACTAGTAGTAGGCCGACCCCAGCATTCGGACGCCTCGGAATCTTCTCCGAACGAGCAGCGGTAGCGGCGGCAATGTTGCCTTGCCGAGGTGGACCGAAGCCAAAAACCGTTTGAACCCTCAGAACAATCCGATCGCTTGTACTTTGTATGCCTTCCGTTGATCTGCTGGTGGATTTGTTTTTCCTCGCGATCGGTCCCTCCGCCGGAGGAAAGCCGGGAGATATTCTGACCGGGTTTGTCCCCCCGCTCGAGCTCGTAGAGACACTCGATGCTGAATTCCGGGGAGCGCTCTAGTAAGGATGGCAGTATCGGTTCCGTGCCGCGACGGGAGAGCGGCGAAGGAAAAATCGTCTGGCTCCTCGGCAAATAAGGCGCGAGCGGACGAACGCTCGTATGACGTAATCACTCCTCAGGCGCGCCGATGATTGTATCGACGTCCCTGCCCCAATTCTTTCCGTCGAACCCTCTGTGATCACATTGTCTCTGTCGAGGCCGGCCAAGTGAACTCAAGCGAGGACGGATACTTCGTTTGCGACAATGTAATAAAATTGGGAGCCACCCTCGTCTCCGTATTCCTTCTCCCTGACCTCTTTCTGTCCAAATATTTTGTTACTCACTCGATATGTCTCTCTTGTCTATCTCTAGCAGGAGATGTCGTAGTCGAGGGCACGACTCCGGTCAGAACAAATCCCGGCTACAGGGATTGACCTTTCCAGGAGCTATTCCTCTTGCATTGGGTCTGCTCTCACGAATCGATGGATGATCGGGCAGAGAGGGAGAAATTCGTCTGGGGGAACAGTTCGGGTTTCCCCAAGGAGATCCTGGCAAACGACATCGACTGGCCGCTTGGCTTGCTGACAGCGGCAGTGAGAGCTTTCGGGCGTTGAGCCAGCAGCTCACTCGTAGCGAGTAGAGGTAAGAGCAGCGAAATCACACGACTACAGTCATCTTTTGACTCGAGATAGCCGCTAGGGTCGTGTTTCAGATGTTCTTTTCTTTTTCCCCCTTTGATGGATGTCGCGGCCGGGACGCCACCGGCGGGCGGTCAACAACCGACGGCTCGCTTTTTCGGCAAAACGGAGCAGCGACTAAAATGCCCGGCGAATCAAGGACACGGAGGAGTCACAAAACGTCTTTTCCATCTCAGACGTCTCCGCCGCCCCCGCTGCCATCGTCGTCGTCTGGAGCTCCCTTCCTCTTACGCATGATTAACTCAACAATTTCAGCGACGGCGCTTATTTGGACTCGGGAGAGCCTTTTGAAAAGAAGAGGAGCTGAAACCCATGTCGCAATGCCGTTCTGACCCGTGAAAGAGTGAGAGGGAAGATCAAAGCTAGAATTCAGTCCGAGGTTGCGGCCTATGCTCCGTTTCTGGGCATCGCCGTCGCCTCGATCAAATTGTCAGTCGCTCGACCACCGAAATCTGAAAAGCATCGCTTCAAGTGACACGATATCGACCCGGGCTGACACGAGATACTCTCCAGCTTTTCTGGACCTCTGAACCAATGTGAGGCGGTGTGTCCGTGGACGAGCTCCTCAGGGGCTGTGAATAGGAAAGCAACGCCTGCGGTGGGGCTCGCTGCCCTCAGGATTGGGGCATCTGCGTGGATGCGTCCGGGAGAATCGTCTGCTCGCAAGGGATCAGTGGAATCAAGTGGAATCAGTGCTGATCGAGTGATCCGTAGCTTGGCGTCGATTGAAACATTTCGGCAGGGGAAGATCCAAAAGGATACAGATTCGGAGTGGAGATCGGAAGGAGCTCAAGCGTACCTCTTCGGAGTTTAGGAGTAAGCCGCGTACTCCTGTGAGACCTAGCTCTGTTTCCCATTCTGGACGAGAGCGAATTGTCGCTCTCTCCATCTTGTATACCTACATAGATGTGACGCGGAAGAGTAATTCTGTCTGATTGGATGAGGGATGACACCTCTCAGAGAGAAGCCGAACGAGTTCCGGCCTCCCGTCTTGCCATTCTCACCTCTGCATCCGCCTCCGCACTCGGAAAGAATCGTGTCACTGATTTGTCGCCGTGGCAAGTCTTGCCGTCGAAACTGTCTTTGTTGATGTTGTCGTTATCATTGATACAGACGATGGCCTCCAAGCTTGCCCCGACGAAGTCGTGGCGCCTCTGAGGCCTCTGCGAGCGAACGAAACGTAGACGAGCAGGCGGGCACGCTATCGCATTGCATCGTGATGGGATTGTTTTGAAAAAGACGAAATTATTGCAGTACCGGAGAGATTGCTCACGGGGCAACCAGCGATATCTTTCAGATTAGCCAAAGCCAGGCACCAGCGTGGGATTGAGAGTTTAGACTTTTGCCTCTCGTGAGATTCGTGGGAGTAGAAATTGTTTAAGTCGTCTCGGCACGAGTTCCGGATGACTTTAGCCCGACGTTCTGCTCGAATTCTCCCGCAGGATTAAGATGCTTGAACGAATAACAGATATATATATAAATAAGGATTCCAGAGGGAGGAACGGAAGCAATCTACAAGAAGAACACTCAGGATTCATCCCACTCGCATTTGTTTTATTGCTCAGCGTCTCCGCCAGTAAGCGCCGAACGGCGCGACCTGTCCAAATCCAGCAGCACCTCCAGCGGCAGATCCTCCTTCCGAAACGTGGGTTGAAATTGTCTTATGGAAATTCTTCATGTAATGGCTCACGCCGCCGTAATTGAAACCGCCTATTCCACCGACGGGTGTTATGAAAGGCCTCGCTCCTATGCCGCCATTAGAACCACCGCCTCCATAAGATCCTCCGAAACCCAATGCGTTGCCGAAGCCCCTCAGTCCACCCAATGCTCCCCCCAGGAGGTTGCCTCCGCCTCCTCCCAGAAGGTTGCCTCCACCTCCCCCTAGAAGGTTGCCTCCACCTCCCCCCAGAAGGTTGCCTCCACCTCCCCCCAGAAGGTTGCCTCCACCTCCCCCCAGAAGGTTGCCTCCTCCTCCTCCTCCGAGAAGGTTGCCTCCCCCTCCGCCTCCGTATCCCCCGCCATATCCTCCTCCGTATCTTCCTCCATAGCCTCCACCGTAGCCGCCACCGTATCCTCCACCGTATCCTCCACCGTAGCCGCCACCGTATCCTCCACCGTAGCCGCCTCCGTATCCTCCACCGTAGCCGCCGCCGTAGCCTCCTCCATAGCCTCCTCCGAAACCTTTAGCGAAACCTCCCCCGTAGCCTCCACCATAGCCATAGGCGCCTTTCCCAAAAGCGGGGTACTTGCCGACGTTGAGCTGGAACGAAATTGAAATCGTAGCCAAAGATGTCTTCATCTCATTTTGATTATGTATACGGGGGGCGAACGGGAAACTCTGTTCGTGGAGCCTCATGTTGGGGAAATCAACAGAGACTCAGGTTCCTTTTCCATTTGCGACTGTATGGAAGGCATTCTGAGGAACGCCCCACTCAGTGACGATAATCGAAAGAATACGTTCTTCTAACGAAATTGCCTCTCGACTTCTGAAACCCTGTTGTTGAGCTCCTAATCCGAGTGGCGGAAAAGGGTCAAATCGAACCTAATCGAGACGCACGACGGCGGGCTCTATTATAGGACCGAATGGCCAGCACGCACAAACCTCGAACGCGGTCCCTATTCCGCCTCCGAAAAACGGCGATCCTTTCCCGAGATGGAATTCTTTCTTAAGGTTGAGGAAGGGGAAAGAGAAGAAAAAACCCTGAGCACTCCACAGCACACACGAGATAGTTGCGGACAAGAGTATCCACATTGTGGATTTAGTATCGCTTGTAAACGCATACAGGTGGACGAACGAGGCAGAGGAAAAAGTATGAGGTATCAGATTTTATACTCTGCTTTTCCCTCAAGCTCTCATGGAACCCAGAGGGAGGCGAGGGAGATCCGCAGGCTCACAGAAATTCACGGTCGTCTCCTCTTATTCATTGGCACCGAGCAGATGCGCATGGGTGCCGGTTATGTAACGCAACGGATGACGGCATGGTTAATCTGTCAGAATTCCGGCGGCTTTGTTTAGACTCGTTGTTGGCGTTCGCTCCGCACCGACCGGTCGAGTGAAGCGCGAAAAAAGATCAGTCCTCCTATCGTCCGACTGAGTAGGTAGTCTGGTTTCTCTCGGGAACTCATCATAGATTGTGTTTTCGGGAAGTTTTTCAGGAGAATATCGGAAGCAGGGGTCCTACTGACAGTCTATTTGAAATGATAGCTCGATGAAGACCCGTCGTCCCTCCTGTCTGACTCGAATGGGCACGCGGCCGGAGAAGTCGATGCCTAGCGGAGCTCGGATTTACAGTTCTCACTTGGTTGAAGCTCCGCTCTTGCAAGCGCTTTCTATCAACTGCTCAGAGCTACACGAGTGTCTCGTGTAGGCGTGAGAGCCGAAAACCCACGAATTTACGCAATGGTCAAATGGAAACCAAGCTCTTCCCGGAACACTCTGCCTCTCAAGCGGAGGATCATCTCTATGGGAGTCTGTCGAATATTTCGGTCGAAGCTGTACATTCCCCCCTCAAACAAGTCGGTCATTCTTGAAATCGGATATGACCCATACACGGAAATAGAGAGATACATTTTCTAAGAGCCGCCGAGACGACGAGAATGAGGCAGCTGGGCAGGAGCTTCCGGTACGACCTCGATCAACGCTTCAATGAGAACGTATGATAAATCACTTCGTGATTGTGCTCCGTGAGACCTGCCCCAGATATGTTCTCAAGCTTCATTCGATTCATTTCGAGCATGATTCAAAACACAGCTCTAAGAAGAATCATTCGACGGCTCTGCAGTGAAGGCGGTCGCGATGAATTCCGACACATCGTTCAGAAACGTTTTATCCTGTTGTGTAAACAGAGCACTGTCATATAGAATCATCATCGTCATCATATCACCATGCTGATATCGTTGTCGCGCGGAGAGCGTCTCCAGTGTTTCACTCGAATCCTAAGTGTCGATTCCGAGTGCAATTTCTCGTTTCGGGAGTGGTGACGTCAAGATCCGGTATCGTGGAAAATCGCCGCGAAGCGACTCCGATTCACCGCTCGCCGGATCGGTAGACTGCGTCGGATGTTCAATAATTCTCGTCCCTTAATCGAACCTCGACTGCGTCGTCGCGTCGACGATTAAAAGTCGATGTCCCCAATATATCATGAGTTACGGGGAAGTGGACCCTTAATAATGGTCCCAATCGATCCTGTTCGGAACCTGTCGACAGGGAGGCAGGGAGGGACGGAGTTCGGGTTTCTCGCGATCGGGGCCGGACCGAATCAGGGTCCTTCATCAATCAAATTTCAAGAGTACTCAACATCCCTGAGCCTTGAGCTAGAGAACGCCCGCGTCCCGGCCATGGGAGTTTTCGAGACTATCTCCGAAAAATTCAGAATCGGTCGACTTGTCCTTCGTGGCTTTTATCGAAGTTATTCTTGTTCCACCCCGAAAGTCGGTCTTGCCGGCACGCAGAGTTTGCTCCAGTCACGTTTCAAGAACTTTCGAGCTCAGCAGAAAGCGAAAAGAAGAACTATTCAATCTCAGAGCCGGCTCTTGAATCACGTCTAGTCGATCCGAGTGGCTGCCGCTGAGCTTCGGAGAGAGAGAACGACCGACCGACCGACTGATGGAAGCGTGAAGTAATGTGTGGTAATTTTTTCCCCTCCCAACGCCGCTATTCACGTTGCTTCTAATGTTCGCTGGGAGCATTTTCAGTGCCGAGGTCTGACACAATTTTTTGCATCGCCATAGTTTCAGCAGTCCTTTGAAGTACTTAAGCTTTTGCTGCTGTCGTCTCACAGTCGCGACATGCGGAAAAATCCGTCACGTCGCAAGTCTCGTACACTTCATGTTCAGTATCGATTTTCTCGAAGAAGTCCAGGGAATCGTCCGGGAGCGTCCCGGCTCCGGATCTTTTCGCATGAAGGTCTGGCAGTCCGCCTCAGCCCTATCAGTGGAGACAGCGACACATTCCCTCGGATGGCAGCGCCCGGATCCATCTACTCATGAGTCTCATTCGAAGTCTCATCTTCATTCGACGCGAGAAATGCGCGGGATGTCCCCGACGCGTCGTCGCAGTAGACGGAATAATCTCTCGAACGTCACTTGAATGTGCTCTCGGCAGCGCTTTCCTTCCCGGTCTCCGCGGTGAAAGAAGTCGTTCCTTCAATGGAAATCATTTCCGCTGCGGGACGCAAACCCATCCGGATCTCTCTGCAAACAGGGTCGATCCGGAATGTTTTCCTGTTGCGAGTGACCTTGATGCGTGCTCCGCACAAAGTATCAACAAGTTTTCAAAGCTGGAAATCTCCGTGCATCGCTTCCGAGGATCATTACAAACATCCGCAGCTGTGAATGACGCATTTTCTGAACGGGGAATTCTCGCATCGCAACGGAGGCGTCGATCAGTTAGGTTCGGCGGCGCCGGCGTCTTGACGACGTCGACTTGGGAACGTAATACGCTGTGGTTTGGAGTTTCGGAGTCGAGAACCTCTCATCGGCCATGTCATAATCACCCCTTTCAATTTGCGTCCTTGATTTGCGGACGCCAGGAAAACAATTTAAATCGTCCGTACTCGGGTTCCGCAATCAGCGGCAGCCAGCTTCGCCGTTGTCCACTTTGGCTGCCCATTTCGAATCCGACGAACGAGTTCCGACGACGACGGATCGGTGGTTTCGTCGACGTTCCAACGATCCTGAACACGGTACGCTCCCCAGCTTGTACGGACAATCCTTGTGAGAAATCATGTGCGGTCATTGTTCGGGTTTGGAAGTCCACAATAATCTCCACTGGCGACGAATTCGTACTAGTCGGAACAGCCGAACTGCGCCAGCTTCGGCGGAGTCCAGCAGACCCGTGGACAATGGATGCGGAGCTATCCTGCTCAGGGCCATGGAGATAAGTTTTTGCTCGACCTCGGATAAAGACTCACTTTGTCGCAGTCCATGGCATTGTTCGCGGAAAACTCCATGGGACACTGAAGGAATCAGTCGAGCAGAGGAGCGATTTTCCCTTTTTTCTTCTCCCTTCACTTCCAACGGGATCACTCACAAATGAAGAGTCGAAGCTCTAACTCATTCAAAATCTAGCTTCGCATGGTGGGACTCCACCGATGGGAACCACCTCCCTGTATCGCATAACGCTGGCTGGAACCCTGCGAGACGTGAGGCAGATGAAATTTAGCAGTTGCGTACATGACGAACTAGTTCATAGCGTCGGAATTTTTTTTACGAATCATCCCTCCGGTCGGATGTTGTTCTCAGAGTTCCAGTGGCAACCGCCAGCGATGTGACCCCGGAACCATAGCCCAGTGGGCTTAGAGGACGGGAGGAGGACATCGGTTCCAAGGAGAAAGGGACAATCTCGATGTATGGATGGTTCGTCGTCCCAAGGTCTCGGGGTCTCCGAGAGTCGATGCGAGCTGAACAATTCTTTCCGCGACGGGAAGCGAGCTCGTCTCCGACATTCATGCATCGGAGCATACCATGGGAAGGTGCATCGATTGAAGCATGCAATCATAGGAAGAAGTCAATCAAAAACATTTATTAACACAAAATAAACATAGAACTAAAATCGTAATCTTTATGACTTCATCGCCAACATGGGCACCCGCATCGCCAACCCTTGCTGCTGGTTCTGAGAATTGAGTTCGTAGGCGAAGCCGCATCGCTTGTTGTTGAGCTGACTTTCTTCGCTCGAAAACTCGCAGATGTACTTGTCGACGGCGTAGTCGAGCGCTCCGACAATGACTTCGTACTCTTCCTTCAGGAATTCGATGACACTGTGCACAAGCTTCCGCATGTTCTCATTGGAGATCGATTTCTCGACCCGGTTGAACCAGCGTTCGATAGCGAGCACGATATCCTCGACGATTTCCTGTCGGATGGCTTCGATCACCGACGAGGCGACGACGAGACGCTGGTTGTAACGTGCCACGGTACGCTTCAAATCTCGGATGATCTCGTCTGTTTGGTCGGAAACAGATCTCGCATAACTGGAAACGTGTTCACCCGCGCGAACCATCGATTCGGAGACGGTTTTCAAATGCAAGGCGTTCTGCTCATAGAGCCTCTTCAGGTCAGTGATCATGGGTTTGATATCTTCACTGAAAGCCCGGGATTCGGAAGCGACGAATTCGGAAATCTTCTTCCATTGTCTGTTCTGCTTGTTGTCGGGGTTCTTCTGGAGCTCCTTCAGCATGTTCTTGGCCGCAGACTGAAAAACCGAACAAAAATAATTTAGACCACCGAAACGTGCATCATATGCTCATCGAATAGTCCGGATTCAGACTCTGGAATTGCCACGGGCACGAACTAACGAATATCCAATTCGGAGAATCATCGCGAAAAATTTCCTACTCACTTCGTAGTCGGCCATGAGTCGCGGAGTCCAGTTGAGACGGGCAGACAGAGTGTTGCGCTGAATGGCATAGCCGATGTTGATGTCGTCCTCGTGGCTCGAGGCACGTCTGAGGATGAGCTCGGATTTTTTCGGGGACATCTCGGCTTGCATCATAAGGTTTCCGAGTACCATCTTGAGCTTTCCTTGTTTCGAATAAACGAGGCTCATCCGTGGGGAGTGCATTGAGTTTTTCTCGTCGAGCATCTGGATTTGATGTTCTCCATCGGTCTCATTGAGGCGGACGATCATCTTCTCCCCGATAGTAGGAACCGACACGATGAGAAGTCGCTCTCTGCGAGCTCCTTGTCCCTTGTTATTGCTTTCACCTGACAGCATCACTTCGATGACTTTCTGGGGGTCGCGGTCGTGGTCCCAGGCGAGACGTCCGGCGAAGCTTCCGTCGGCTGAGGGCTTCTTGCTGTCCAACTCCATCATCACGCTTCGGCGGGGAGTGTCGACGCGGAGCATAGAGCCGTGGATGTCCTTGTTGAGACGCATTGCGAAGCCGAGTTTCTTGCCGTTCTGGGAGAGCTCGAGCTTGTTAGTCCATGTCTGCCTGTCGAGTTGGTGTTTGAAGCTGAGGGCGAGGTCTCCGGCCCGGGCGAATTTCATGTTCCACTTGAGATCGACGAGATGATCATTCCCCGTCTGGATTCTGGCTTCGAGGATCGTCTCTCCGTCGAACTCGACCTTGAACGAGCGAACGTTCTCGAGACTGTAGGTGACGATCATTTCGTGCTTGCCGGAGCTCTCGCCGAAATCGAAGTTCCCTGCGAAGACACCGCTGAGCATGTGCTCGTTCTTTCCGGTCAACTTGAGCGCGAGAACTTTCTTTCCGAACCACTCAGCCTCGACTCCGTAGGTCGGGGGAGCGTTTCCGGTCGACTGCTGCCTGGTCTCGGATTGAGAGCCCGCCTTCTCGGTGAGCTCGAAATTCGGTTTGTTTCCCATGTAGACGGTGAATCTCGAGTCGTGTCCCTCGGTTTTGAGCGCGAACATCACTCCGTTTTCTGCGACGAAGCCTTCGATCTCGAGCGGTTTCTGGAGCTTGTCCGAGACGAGCTTGGCCTTGAATCCGTTGTAGAGTCCCTTCCGGACGAGTGCCCCTTCGAACTGGGCGCTCATCTTTCCGTGGGTGGGACAGGTGTACTGGATCGAGCCGTTGATGCGTTCTCCCTGGATGTTGCCGTCGATCGCGACAGAGTAGACTCGCGATCCGACTTGGAGTTTGCTATTGACAGCGAGCTTCGATCCTCCGTATTCCGCGTTGAGCTCGGACTCGATCCGTTCGGGATGGATCCAGAAACAGTTCAAGTTGAAGAATCCACGGAAAGAGTTTTCGGGTTTCTTGAAACCGATCTTGAAAGCATGCTGCTCGTTCTGGTGTTCGAACGCGATGTTGAAAACCATGTCGTTCGGTCTCCAGAGAGCCTCAATGGCTCCAACCCGTTTCTCCTTGAAGTACACGAGAGCCGCAGCCTCACGGGCGTTGTGAGGGTCCAGGAAAATTTCGAGACGCCACTTATCGTCCCGGAAAGTCCAATGACCGTCGATGGACATTCGCTCCGCCTGGTTGAGGCTCCACGTGAGACCGCTGGATCCGGAGGGGAATTCCATTTTGATTTGGCCCTGGTCGAGCTTGGCGATGAAGTTCGAAGACACGCGGCGACCTCGCACGGTGGCGTCCAGATTGCCTTGTTTCGAGTTCGGATTGAAGACGAGATCCATCTCTCCGACCTGCTCGCCGCGGTACTGAGCGTTTCCTCGGACCGTGTAGGGGCCGGACATCATCGAGTCGATGTTCATCTTTAGGTTGGCGATGTCGATTTTCATGTTTCCGCTCTTCGAAGCCATCGAGTAGCCGCCGCGGAGAGTGTGTCTGCGGCTCCATTGAGAGGATTCCGCCCCAAGCGAAATGTCACCACTCTCAGGAGTCCAGGATCCGTCGATGTTGGCTTTGTAGGAAACGCCGTTGTGCATGATCTCGGCCGAGCCCTCGTAGGCTTCAGGACGTCTCCAGGAAGCCTTCAGGATAGCCTTGGCGATGTTGTCACCGTTCCTCCTGAGCATGCCGTTCAGTGTGAAATCTCGATCCCACGAGGCAGCGAGCTGCCCGGACATTTGATGACGACCTCCGTCCATCGAGACTCCTGCGTCGACGTTGAACATCGAGTTCTTCGCCATCAAATTCAACGCGAGAGCTTGACCGCCGAATTCCTCCGGCATCTTGATCTTGAGGTGGCCGTCGATGTTCCTCAGCTGGAGGGGAACCCGAACCGAGAGTTCGGTGGTCTTCTCCGCCGCTTGATCCCTCTCGAGCTTGGTGTCAAAGACGAAAGCGTCGTTGTCCTCGATCCCGGACCTCATGTTCAACAACATGCCCTGCGTCATACGGGGCGCTTCCCAGCTCGCCTCGAGTTCGACGAGGCGCCGCCGACGGGCGAGCGTCAACTTGCTCGAGCAGACAGGGGCTCGGTTCGACTCGACTCGGCTCTCGAACGCGATGGTGTTCTTCTTGTCGCTCTTGAGCTCACCCGAGACGGATCCTCGGAGCGAACGTTCCCATCGACCGTCGAGCTTTCCTTCCAAGGCGAACGAGTCGCGCTCGTTGACGAGCTTTCCGGAAACGTCGATGCTGTACTGGACGTCCTTGGCGGACTTTCCCATTTCGTGACGGGAGCGCAAGTTCTCCGAGTTGGCGACGACTTCGTTCAAAACGTAGGCCCTCCTCCAGAATCCGGGGATCACCGTCTGAACTTCCATTCGGTTCTTGAGGAGAACACCGTTCTCGAGGCTCAAGGCACCCAGATAGCTGACTTCGAAAATCAGATTCGAATTCTTCGCGAGCTTCACCTTGGCGTCGTAGACCTTCCTTGCGTCGTTCTCGAGTCCGAAATCGAAATTCCACCGATCGGAAACGCCATCGATGTCGTAGGAGAGGACGGATGCGAGACTCTTGAAGACACCGTCGTTCTTGACGTCGAACACGAGCCTGGCTTTCTGGACTCCACGGTGGAGAACATCGAGTCGTCCCTTGCCGTTCGAGAACCTGAAGTTCCCTTCGAGGAGGTTGCCGTTGTACATCGTCGGAACGGTGACACGCGCTCGGGCGGTGAGTCCGTCGCGGGGATCGACTTCGACGTCAAGGACGTTGTTCGCCATTTTGACTGTCGAGAAGTTGACGACAACGTTGATTTTCGGTTCGAGCTTCCACGCGGCCGAAAGCTTGACGTTCTTCCAGTCTTCGAACGAGCTGCGAACGTCGGCTTCGAGGAGTCTCGAGGTGGCGGTCGCCTCAGCTTTCATGAAGTGCTTTCCGAGAGCGTATTCGGCGTTGAGGAGCAGGCTGCCGGGTTTGACGTTCTGGCTCTGGAGGAGGAGCTTGGCGTTTGAGAACTCCGGGTAGGACGACTCGAGGTCCACATTGGCGGAGAAGGAGTTCCCTTCAAGGCGGAGGCCTCCTCTCGCTCCGAACGACTTGTCGCCGTTCCTGGTATCCACGTTGAGAGACCATCCCGATCCCAGGTCCTGTCCGTCGATCTGAATTCGACCGTGGTACGGTTTGCCCCTGATGTTGAGGTCGAGGTCGAGCTGCTTATGGGCTCGCTCGTTGATGGCCTTCGCAGCCACGCGGAGGATGGTGTCCTTGGTGTTCTCGCTGAGCTCGGTCAGGAAACCGATTTCGTTCTGGTGGAGCATGAGCTCGGAGTTAAGAGCCACGGGCTCGATCACGAAGCGCTCTCCCAGAGGGCGCATGTCCATTTCGAACACTCCGCGGAGGTGGAGTTTCGGAAGCTCGAGGTTGTAGGTCCCAGAGCTGAGGATGCGCTGCTCGGGTTGCCTGGCTCCTCGGTAACGCCAATCGATGCTCCACGATGTCGCGTCGAGAACGTTCTTGAAAACGATCGTCGACGTTCTTCCGGAAGAATTGACGGTGGTCTCGATGTCGACCTTGTTGCTTCGTTGCCAGAGGGAAATCTTCGCCGACGACGTGAGTCCCATGTTGATCGTCTCGTCCGGGCTTCGGATCTCCATTTCGGTCTCCAGACTGAGGGTGTTGGCTACGGAACCAGATTTCTTGACACCGAAAATAGCGTCGAGCTGGAGCGGAGCCATCATTTTCATGTCGACGGAGAGTCTTTGCGGGTCGATGACCGTGTCGGTGGTCACGTCGGCGAGCACCTGGTCACGGAACTGCAGGAAAATTTTCATATCGGGCTTGCGGAGGTTCGGATTGACCCCGAAGGAAGACGACAGCAGCTTAGCTCCGTTGTGTTTGACGTCGAGTTTCGTCTGGTAGACGGAATCGGTAGCGAGGGCTCCGGTGATTTGGAAGCTCTCGTCGCCAATCTTACCGAAAGCGCTGATCTTGTGAGAATATCCAGTGGGCGTGTACGACATCCGAGCGCTGTACGTCTTGCCGACGAGGTCGGTTTCAAAGACTACTCTCTTGACGGGACTGGCGAGATCGTATTGGAGCGAGAATTGTTTTTCGACGTTGTTGGGGAGGTCGAATTTCCCGGTGAAAGAGGTCAAACGGGGCATCTGCTGGAACTTGATCGAAGTCGCGTATTTCTCCTTGTCCTTCAAACCCATGGCGGTGAGGGTGATCTCGTCGTTTTCGGTGGCGATGCCCAGGGCGCCCTTGTAGCGACCCTCGAGAAAATCGAAGGCCATGTCGAAGTTGGCGGGAAGGTTCCATGCGAGTTTTCCTCGGCCCGACGCGTACGAAACGCCGTTCCTGTTCACGTGACCATCGATAGCGATCGTGTCGTGGTCGTCGATCACTTTACCGCCGATGCTGAAAGTGTTCTTCGGACCCTGCCGGTAGCTGTAGTCGCCTTCCGCGGACACGTCCCAATTACGACCCTGATTAGTCGTCAGTTTGGACTGGATCTTGGACTGCAGCCAGGCGGAATCGAATCCGAGGCTGAGACGCCTGTCCTTGTTCACGATGGAATACTCCCCGTCGATCTTGATGGGTCTCTGATTCCAGATCGATTGGATCTCTACTTCGCCGTCGAGTTTCTGATTTCCGTTGGAAGCGATCTCGGACTTGACCCGCATGACGCGCTCGTTGCGCCAGAACACTTCGACGACGGGACTCAGGATCATGGTGCGGCCCTGCTTGACGTCCATATTTCCGACGACGGACATCTCGGTGGCTCCGTCGATCTTCACGAGGAATTGTGTCTTCTTGTTGGAGGGCGTTTCCTGGTAGGTTCCTTCGAGGTTGATTTTCTTCATCGGGGAAATCAGGTCGAGACCGAACTTGTGATCGCGGACATTGCTGTAGAGCCTGCCCTGGAACTTGCGGTCGACTTCTGAGCCGGGGGTGTCCATCTCGAAGGCGAGCTCAAGAAGTTCTCGTTGTCCGTAGATGAAAGACGATTGGATCTGGAACATCTTCAGGGACTTGTCGGTCTTGATCCAATTGACGTTGAAACGGCTCGGGCCCCTGAGCAGAACGTGGGGGGCGTCGCTGCCGCGGGTCGCTTCGGGGTACGAGACGGTCACGCAGGCTTCGTGTCCGGTCACAACATGAGTGTTCCTTCCGGAGCACCATTGCCAATTTTTCTTTTGGGTTCCGGCTGCTTCGATTCCGCGCTGCGAGCTGGCACCGACGAGATAGACGTCCGACTTGATGTCGATGATGTCAGAACGGTCACGGGGGGCATCGATCTGGATACTGCGAATCATTCGGGAGTCCGACAAGTCGACGTTGATGCGTCCACTGAGATCCCATTGAGAGGAACCGGTGACGACCATCCTGATTCCGGACGTGGTCTTCGGCGCCTTCGTCATCATCGAGACTCCGAAACGTACGGCGAGCGAAGGTGCACAGCGGGCGTCAGCGACGAACTTCGAGTTTCGTTGTCCTTGCGGGGGCATGGCCTTCAGAACCACGTCGAGCGAGGCGGTGGCGTTGACGGCAACGACCAACGGGAGACCGGTTCCGGTGGGGATGATCGACTCCGAGTCGAGGAGCGTCATCGATCTGTAGGCAACCCCAGGTTTTAGGAGGGAATAAAAAATATGGAAACAGAAAAACTTGACTTCTTCCCGAGCAGGAGGATAAAGATTTCGGGTTCCGGTACGTACCGTGAGAACTTCCAGCCAGCGTTCGACAGAACGGACTTCAGTAGGGCGTCGACCTCTGCGTGGTGGCTCTTTCCGTTCACGCTCTTGTAGAGAACCTCCTTTCCGAAGAATCGAAGGAAACCGTCGAGATGGGCAAGGTCGTTTTGGGCACGCACCTTGGAGTCCAAGATGTTGAGTTTGTGGCCGAAAATATCGAATGTGCTGTTCAGCATGAAGGAGCTGACTTTATTAGTGAAGATGGAGTTGGCGTCGATTTCGAATCCCATGTCCAACGGATTGAAGAACATCTCGTAGAAATAATTCTTCGAATACTGCGGCCGGTCGAGCTCAAGCGATTTCAGGCTTTCGTTCGACGTGATGATAGAGACGTCCTCGTGGAACGATGAGCGCTTGGCGAGGTTCGTGACGTGGGTGAAGACGAAGGAGGACATTTGACTGTCTTTCGGCTCTTTCATGATCGTGTCTCTGACGGTAGCGAGCATTTTCTCGGTGGGACACATGATCGAGTTGAGATAAGCGGCGACTCGAAGCTCAGTGTCCTCCGATTGCCGGGTGAAGATGTTCATGAGCATATCGCGCTTGACCGTGTCGCAGGGGAAACGGCGGAAGGCTTCGATGGCGGCGAGGCGAGTCTCCAGACTCTTCTGAGCGGTGGTCTCGAGGAGCTTCTGCTCTTGGCCATTGCTGATGCCGAGATTGCCGATGGCCTTGAGGGTGGCCAACAAGGTTTTGCTATCAGTCTCGGGTTTCAATTGAGCGTAGAGCTTACGGAGCAGGTCGTGGATCTCCTCGGGAATCTCCGTCGGATTCTCTTCCATGTAGGTTCTAGCGAGTGAAGAAACGGCGAGGTGCGCTTCAACGACGATGTCCTCTGATTCGAGCAGGGGCTGAGGGAAGAACGAGAGTATTCTGAGTATTCTGACAAATGAACAAGGACAATGATTGAGGATCTCGACCGCTCCATTAGCTGTGACCGAGGCGCGATTCGCGTCACAGACCTCGTCCACGATTCGCTTTGCGTCACAAGTCAAAGCCCAGCCACGGGACGCTATCACGCATCGACCAAATATCAGGCACCATTTTCTCCGTAGATCGGGGAGCAATTATAGCCAATCAGCTATCGTTGGGGCTAGACTTTCGTCGCGGTCCGTGACCGCGATTTTTGGTTGCACTGCGGGGCGATTTCCCATCGAAAGTCTCTGGGAGCTTGGAAATGCCGCGAATTTCCGGCTAAAGAGCCGCGACGAAATTCGAGCCCTAGCTATCATCGATGTACGATGTAAAATTGAGGCATTAGCCCACAAGAGAGAGGTGTTCCCCTGAATACAATTGGGGAAGGAGACATTTTTCAGAAAGACAAGCATCCCCGATCAAACTGGCTGAGTGTTCCCGTAAAGGGAGTGGAATTCGGGGGTGGGAATTCCTTACCATGAGCATCTGAATTCGGGAAGCATCAACATCAGTCGCGAGCGCGACTCGGAAGAGCCAGAGTTTTGCGTCTTGAGTGCTCAAAAGTCGTCCTTTGACGCGTTCCGCAACGAGTTTCATGGCGTCACCGCTCAAGGTGCTCGTGAGAGCGTCGACGAATCGGGGCTCGTTTCCGAACTCGGTCGCGAGCTTCTTCAAGGAGTCGTAGCGCAATTTGCGGAGAGATTCCATGAGTTCCGAGAACTGAGCGTTCGTTTCCTTGATGTCCTCGTTCTTTCCGCCCGCTAGCCGTTGGATGATGGCCTTGGCCCTCATTTCCATTTGGTTGTCCGCGCTTTCAGATTCAGCGATGGGGTCGAATTGCATGGTTTCCTCCTCGGCTTCAGGGTAACGCAACTCGTTGACAGGAATATTCGCTCCACTTCGCTGGAATCGAAGACTCTGTTGGATTTCGGTCGCGGCGCCTTTCTCCTGACGGCTGAAGGGTTTCACGACGTGACGCTCGTGACATTCCACACTCTGGTAGATTGAGTCCTTGATGACCTGTCGACATTCTTGAGTTCCGTTGATCATCGACGAAGATTTCGCCATTCGACGGGGCAGGGCGATTGCGTTGATAACCTGTTGGTCGTTGTCGCGCTTGCATTCAGACAACATCTTCTCTTTGACGATGTTCACTTGATTGCCGAAACCTTTCTGCACAGTGTATACCGCGCGGCATTCTCCGACGACGTCGTCCTGTTGGAGGGAAATTCATTGAGTCGGGGATCAATCTTCGTTACGAGATGCTTCCAAAAGAGCATATCCATTGCCTGGGGCGAGGCCTTGGGGAAGATGCGGAGGTGGTATCGCGTCTAAATTATTCGAATCAATTCCCTGTCGTGAAGTTCGGGATTTCGGGGTAACAAGATACTGACCTCGAAAGTAGTGTCGTCCTTGGTCAAATCTGCCATTTTGTTTTGGATCATTGACAGAATTCCTCTCTTGATGTTCAAAGCGGATTTCGACTCGTGCACGGCCGGGCACAGTCGGCTCACGACGCCGTTTTCATAGTTGAAAACGAGCGGGCTCCTCATCAGAGACTCGGCGAGTTCCTGAGTTCCGAGCGAAGCTTTGCGGACACCGCCCGCAAGCTCCTCGTCCAGTTTTGCAGAGTCCACCTGGAATTTGCAAATCGATGAGGCCTAATGGCCACTCAGCTGACTCAGCCGGACGAAAAAGAAAAGCGGCTCATTCAGCGCTGATCCAAACCCCAAAACAGGGGGTTTCGTTACGGATTCGTGACGTCATCCTCTACACCCACATACGAGATACTGGAAAGTTTTCCAAAATAATCCAAAGATGTTCAACAGTTCGTAGCCGACGCATGATCTCTATCTCCCTCCCTCTGTCTCTCTCTGATCCACCAGGCGATAGGACACTCGAGAATCAGAATCATTGGGTTCGAACGCTGACCTTCAGGGCGAATCGGCAAGAATCGATGACGTGGAGACTGATTTCAGCGTCGAGATACATGGTGGATTTCTCGTCGGAGCTCTGCTCGAGAGCGGTTTCTGTTTTCGTCGAGTACTTGTAGACATAACTCTGACCGGGACTGTACTTGAATTTGTTTTGAGTACCGCATTGGATATCACACATGGAAGTGCTGCCATCGCCGCTCACGGCCACTGGACCTGCAAGAGGAAGCACTTTTCTAATGTGGCCCGATAGAACCTGAAAAACTACGTCTTACCTAGAACCTGAGGGTCTCAGACAGCGTCGACTCGCGTTCCTGTTCGCCCTCAGATTCTATTGACCGAAGGGATTTTATGCGAAAAAGTTCAACGATCATCTTCCTCCCATGATTCGTATGAGAACTCGATACTCATGAGGAACGGATTTTCAGCGAGATATGCCGAGTTGAGACACGTCACTCAAATAATAAAAAGGTCGATGGCACAGTCTGCCGGAAAACGCATGTTTTTCGGCGATAGAAAAATAAAAAACTAAAACACAAACAGTCAAAAAGAGGAGGAAAACTCACCCGCAGATGCGAATCCAATTGTGACACAAACGAGCGCGGCTACACACCCGAAAGCCTTCATGGTCGCTCGGTTCGAAGAGAGACCCAGACTCGAGTTGCACTGCAGAACAAACACGACAGTATCCTGGCTCGTTCACTTGTACGCGGCTCAATTCGATGTTTAACTTTACGCAGTCGAGATCCACTCAGACGCTTCCAGCGATCTGCCAACGCTTTATCGCTAAAGCTCTAACAGACCACGAAGCATAGCTCTCTGAGGGTAACCGATGCTTTTATATGTGAACTGGCCAGTTCGGCGGCGAGGGGGGCCAGAAGTGTAACGGTGTATCTTTTTGGATAGGCTGTAGCGCGGCTCGAGAATCGGTCAACCTCTACTTAGCTCTCGAAGAAAAGACGATCCTTCCGTTCCAGGCGACCGACGGATAGAAGGACGGATAGACAGACCGACGGAGCTACCAACCGACCGACCGGCTAACTAACCGACCGTCGAACTCGCTAACCAGTCTGCCGAGCGAGCCGCGGAGTGAGCCTATTGGGAGTAGTGTCATATCATTCTGATAATTTCTACCTGTACTCGACTGTCATACTGCCGAGGCGGCGCTGGAGGACCGAAGTGCTCGCGATGATCGTCGTCGTGTCTCGATGCTGTTTTTGGAGGCTGGCCCACCAGCGGCGTCGCGTAGCGCGATACCGACGGTCTGCCGGATTATCGGGATGCATTTTGTTTACTCTCCGAGCGAAAAGCTCAGCTTCGAGACGGCTTCGGTGATTCGGATTTGCTCTCGATCGCGGTATGGTCGCCTCAAATTCGAGTGGGAGGGGACAGCGATAAACAGAGAATGACCTCGGAAGGCTCGCGAATTCTCGGGCTCCGCTTCGGGACATTTAAGAAATCCTCGATTTTTTTTCGTACGCGACCTCGATAATGGTCGAGCGTTCAGCGTTATTGTCGTCGACGTCGTCGTCTCGAAACTTCATGAGTCAGTCGACTTCTACACGAAATCGATACCTTCGATGGACCGCAATTTTCTTGTCGTCGTCCTCCCTAGATCGCTAAACTCCTCGATGTTCGTTCGAGACCTATCTCGAGTAACTCCTAAGAGCAGGAGTCCTCTTGTGCTGCCTGATCACTGCAGAAAACAGAATGCGTCTGAATGAACGTTCTTCCGTGCTGAACGCTCTGCGCTCGCTGGCGAAATTTTTTACATTCGTCGGATGCTTCGTCGGCTTCAGCTTACAGATCCGTTTCCTTTACAACCTTTATAACTCGTCCCCGTACGACGTGCTGCTGATCGGAAGACGTGCGGTCAACATTGAATTCCCTTCGGTGACCATATGCACAGATTTCTGGTGAGTGCGGCCGCTCGTGTAATTTTTCATGGACGTTGTGACTCGACGATTCGCCAGATCTTCGATATCCCTCCGATCACACTATCCTCTGAGCGAAAAGGCCGCAAGATAGTATAGCGAGAAAAGGTTAAAAGGCTTCTCGAATGCCTGTAAGCAAAGAGCATTTTTCTTCTCTCTTCCCGCGTATCTTCCGAATGCGAAATGAAGACCATTTTTTCTTCTTGATAATCGAAGGATGAATACCAAGTCGGCGAGATGTGTCGCTGAGCCGGAACTATGTTCGTGGAAAGGCCAACACATAACTTTCGGAATATTTCGCGTACAATTCGACCCGGCCATGGCTCCGTCTATGGCACATGAACCGCGAGACATATTTAAGTGTGTTATGAAGTCTCTGGTTGCGGAATGCCCGACGTTCGATTGCTCGATCCAGTGAGTCCGTTTCCTTAGAAAAAGATTCCGATGAGCATAGCGGCGGTAGCGGCGATGTTTCGGAAGCTATTCGATCCTATATATATAGATATCTGATTTCGCTTCTTTTACCACTATCATTTTTATCACTATTTTTCTCGATCAACCGGACAGCATGGCTCGCACCATGTTTTGGCCATCGTCGAAATACTGCTACACGATGGACAACTATATGTACTCGAGCAGCATCCACCCATTCCACAAGTGCACCAAGAAATGGATGTATGGTAAGCGGTCGGATTTCGCTGTGCGATGTGATGGGAGATATTTTCTGACGGTTTTCGCCTTGTTCGTTCCGGACCTTAGAGTTGCAAATCACAAACGTCTGGACCAACGATACCGTGGCGATTATGGACACGGGCTCGATGCCGATTTTTGTCCAGCGACCTCTTACAGCTGTACCTGAACAGCTTGCTCAAATCTATCTCGAGCCCGGGAGGGATTTTTCTCTGAACATGCGACAGGTTCGTTTGAATCGACGAACTATGTGATCTCCTTCGTTGACAGACACAATCTAATCATCTCGGAACCATGGTCGCTAATAGTTTTTCTCATCAACGTGAATAGTTCCTTCCGCTGAGCAGTTTTTTCCATTAGCTATGAGAGCAAGATTCAGGTCGATAATCGAGGGCGACTGATCTAGAGATTTCCTGAAACAGACCATCTCCGAGAGACTTCCGAAGCCGTTTCGATCAAACTGTAAGAACTACGATGCTTCTGGTCTCCATGCCGAAACCTTTGGATACGCTCTACGTGACGCCTGCGTACACGATTGCATGAAAAATGTCGAGAGGGCGAATTGTGGCTGCGTTGTCTGCCATTTGCACCAGTACTCATCGGCTGACGACGAGTGCTGTTCCTTGGTGACGTCAAGTACGTATCCTGGAGGTTATTGACATTCACTTTATCCGGTAATCTGGATCCTTCCGAGATTTCAAGTTTTCAGTTCACCTTACGTTTCCAGTCATGTGTGTCGAGAACATACGATCGAAGTTCGAAAACTGCTCTAAGGAATGTCCTCCAGCCTGCCGGTTAGTAACTCTTCTATCGCGAAGGACTCTTGGAGCTCTAGTTCGGGGGAAAAGCTTCTCGTTCTGGATATAATCCTGATTCGGGAGCCCTGCAAAGCATCTCCGGGTTCTTCCGCTGTGGATATTTGATTCTCAGCTCCCTAGAATGCTAGACGAATCATTCTTAGTGCGGATACCAAACTTTCAGAGACTATTACTACGATCTTCGAACCAGCGGGATCCGAGACAAGCTCAACGAGAATGGCACCATAGACAGGTTTGATATTACGCAGTGATATTTTCGAAAGAGGAGCAGGGGCGCGTCACGAAAAGAGCGTATCTCACCTTTCTCGATTCCGTATACATGGAATCGATATGGAAAGATGCTCGATCGCTCTTGTCCCCGTCCTCCATGAACTTTTCCAGGATAGCATACCTAACTTTTACAACTTGTTCCGAAACTAAAATCATATTCGATTATCTCTGGGAGGCTTCGAGCGTTATTCGACAGTAGGTCGGGCTTCATTTTCGATCCTACCCTACGCTTTCAGGAACTCCGTGACGGTCAAGTTGCGATTCAGAACGGACAGCGTCGAATACTCGATCGAACAGCCATCGCTCAATGTGAGGGACGAATACGAGTAATCTGAACTTCGGATTTCCAGAGTGACAGCCGACCGGAACAGTTCTTTTTCCGATTATACAGGGTGGGGCAGTATAAATTCTCCATTTTGAATGATCCCCATGAAATATGAACCAAGGCGGCCAGCGGAATTCTGCTTGCAGCAGAATGACCACGAGGACTTGCAGTTCCAGAAAAGAATCCTCTGGTTCGAGACTCCTCACCAGGTGGACGTTCAAAGTTGACTTTTTGAAGTTCCGTTAAGGTCATTTTCATAAAGCTCGGTATTGATTTCTGCGGGAAAACCCATTTTCCTCGCTTTCCCGCTGATTCTTGTTCTCCAGCTTGGAGATATCGGACCATATGAATTTTTTCCTGGGAGGCCGAGTCCTCCGAAACATTTTGCCGCAAAGAGAACGTCGCTAGCCCTCATGGTTCGGATTCCATGAGCAAAACAAAATAGGGAGAATATACTGCCCCACCTTGTATTGGCGGGTCTCTGCTCTTGGAAATGATCAAGCGGTGGGATAAGAATATTCTCTCCCTTCACAGCTCTTCGAAGTCTCCGGATATGTGGGTGGATTCGTCGGATCGTGGCTCGGAATCTCCCTCTTGCATTTTCTCTTCCAGGTTGAAACATCTGGTCGTGAAATTCTTCGAGTTCTGCGGAATCTATACGAGAACTCTAGGAAAAGAATGTTCCGAATCTAATGACAAGCCCGCCAAGCCCGTGGATGATAGTCTCTCGCTCGCTCACTCGCCCGCCCAATCGATCGAAATCTCGAAAACGTGATACTCCGGTGAGGGTAGCAGCGACGCCGGCGGCGGAGGACACGACATTACGATTAAGGAGACTGAGTCTGCCAGAGCACGCGTAGCAACAATGTGGGACTTCTTGATACAACGTTGCCATCACGCTATCTAATGGTTTTGCGTACTTAACATCAGTCCTTCACAGTTAGTCGATGCAAAATCATGGCTGCTGCGATAGCGATAGCCCGCCAGAACACGCTACAGAAACGCTGACCGCAGCCGTACTCGAAACTCGACACTGCTCTTTGCTAGAGAGTCATCGCTCGGTTACATCCTCGGTCAATCTATGGAATATCTTACCTAATTTCGCTACTACAGAATGAAGATAGCCTGAAAGTATCTTTCAGAAGGGAGGATAGAGCCGGAATTATGTCCCCGCGAAGAAGTTTCGTCCGAGCTCCCAGTGTAGTCCGTAGGGGATGGGGGGGGGTGGGGGGAGGGGTGAAGGAATTTATTGATGATTCGACGACTGGTCCGCTTCAAATCAGGTTCTCAGGATTCAGAATGAGATCATCAGTTGACTCTTGCCGCTGGTCCCGAATCCCTCGACTGAGAGAGAGCGAGTTTCAGGTCCCATCGGAGCTTGACGACAGCTGGTCATGGGCTAGAGATAACTGTCTCGTCGGAGCGAAACTCATCTTCCTACGAAGCTCACTCCGTCCTCTCACACGTTGTCTGATGCTAGCGAATCCTCTTCCCGTAGCGCCCTGAGCTTCCTACACCCAGTACTTTGAGCGGAGCTCTCCTTCTAGCGATTCCTTGATCAAGGATGCTCTGGAGTTTGGGCCCTATTCATTACCGCTGTCCACCAATCCCGGTGTTTTTGAATAAAAGACAGATATAGACGGACCGAGCTTGTCAATATCTCAAGGAATCATCGAGTTCTTCTTGCAAATCCGGCGCAAATGAGAATCCTGACTTTCCTGACTTGATCCTGGAGACGCTCTATCCCATGCATGCGAACAGATGCCTAATCGCGTCCGGCCACATCTCCGCGACGGGCAGAGAAGAATGCGGTCAGAAGTATGTACGCACGTATAACCGACTTTCCGGAAGCGTGTTCTTCCGAGCGATGAGTGGAGTCTTACGCGACCCCTAGACGAAAACGGGTCAGAGCTGGTTGGTGATTGGTGACACATGAGCGTGGGTCGGGGCTCTGGACCAGGCAACAGGATCTCCCTACAGGCGAATAATTCGGGTGAGATTCCCTCGACGGGTTCGAGAAAGACTAATGCGTTTCTGAGTGCGCCGATAATAATATGACGAACGATTCGGGTCTTGCATGTTCGGAGCCATTAGGTTTCTGGGGCCGACGGGGGACGATCATCCGGAGCTCTGGTAAGAGAGTTTTCTTTCTCAGTGAGGGCATTCTTGGGATCGTCTTGATGTATGCCGCCCAGCGCACATGTGATCATAGACGGAAGACAGCTCTAGTTTTGGAGGAGAGCGATCATTTTAGACCTGGGGTCTTAAATCCGTTGCCCGAATGAGTGCGTGGAAATTGAATGAGATCGGTGGAATGACTCCCTCCGTAAGACCGAACATACGAGTTTTCCCTCGATCCCCGGAGGGTGGAAAAGCATGCTTCCATGGACGATAGGCATATATTCTCCTTTTATACGAAAGTAAATTTTTGATGTGGCCCGCGGGCACCTGCGGCGCTCAATTGCCCGCCAAAAATTCAAGTCCGACACTCCTGTTTTAGATTTTAGACCTTGAATATGAGGGATGGGATCGAACTGACTCGGTTGTCACGGAAGAGGGCCAAGACTCTTCCCATGAAATTATTTCCCAGACCATTCGGATGACTGGGCTGGTGGAATCACCGCTCACATAATGAGGGAAGAACACGAATAAGAGAGAACACCTTCCCGCAAATTTCAATGAGACCACTCATTTATTATTTACAGTCAAACTGCAGGCTACGCAATTGTCGAAAGCGAGGTGTCAAACTGGTGACATCGCGTTTATTTTGCTTCCGTCGATAGTCCTAATCCTTCAAAAGCCAATCCGCAAGACCATCGGACAATTGTGTTCCGTATTTACAATATGCGACTACAGCCACTCACTTCATGCTCAACGTGTTGCACCGATAGCGATACTAATTTCGCTTGCTTGCTTTCCTCTTTCGCATCCGCTTGTTATGCTGCCGGCGATCGCAGACGATTCGCGGCGTCTCCACCACTGCGGCAACGGTGCTCTCTTCGGAAAGAATGAAGGGTCGAAGAAAAACGCGAGAGCAAATAGAAAAGCGCCCGTCGAACAAATCAAAAATTAAATTACTGAGCGTCATTCCGGGCCGTCCTCCGTCACCTCAATCAACGACAAAAAGGTAAGTAGATTTATTATCATTCATCCTGTCTTGCTCTATGTGGAGGTCATCGCCTCTTCATTATCGTCAATGATCACCTTCAGCGACGAAATTGCCGTCGTCTGATTGTTTCTCGCTTCCATTCCCGTACTCTCGTTCGTTTCTCTTATATATATTTATATATAATATATGGCTTCTGGATCTCAAGACAAATAGCATGCACGCAGATCGAAAGTGCGAACTCGCGTCTTGAGCGAGGCGAGCGGATACCTCCACTCAAAATTAAATTACACTTAGGACTCATCCTAGGAGGTAGCGGCTCGCCCCAGAGTGGTCGACGGCGGACGATTGTGAGTTTTGTTTATGCTCCGCTTCGATGTCTGCCGCGGACCTCGAGCTGACTTGAGGTCACGGCTTGAACACTTGGATCGAGTGAGGGTGGTACAGGGAAAAACGGATCGGTTAGTTGTCGGTTGGCGTTGTACAGTTGCTCGGTCAGAGATGGCGGCTGCTGCTGCTTCTCCTCCTCCTCCTCGGACACTTAAATCCTGGCTTCCTCCGACTGCTCGAGGTTGGGAATTGATCTACTTCTTCTTCTTCTTGATGTCACCGCCATGCTCGATCCAATTGCTCATGTCCATGTCGGCGAACGATTCACACGGCAGCTCTTGATTGCTGTTCGACAGCATCTGCAGCGACCACTGCTGCGAGTACTGCTGTCCGACGCTGTTATCGCAGACAATTTTCGCCATTGTGATCTTACGAATCTGCGTGAGTTGAGCTGGCGGCAAAAAGAGACGAATCATGAGGGACAGGTTCACATAGCCCTCAGGTATCATAGATCGAGAGGACATTTCAGCAGCATTATAAATTCACGAACGATTTCTGAAACGGTCCATACCGGAAACAAAAGAACATTCATAACCGAGAAAAAAATGGAAGTACTTACATGGAGTGAATGTTCCGATCTGACCGCCATGTTCGTAATAGAACCTGTCTCCGTACTTCAGTCTCCAGAACTGAATGCCCATGATACAGCCGAAGGTAGGGCCAACCACACCTCCAGGAAGCTGATACTCTGAGACACCTCCCGTGAACAAATCGATATCGTTGACATGCCTGAGAAATGAAACGTTCTTGAGGAGACTTCCAAAATGAGGATTTTTTGCTTGAAATCGATTGCTCGGGTACAGTATCCTCCGCAGAGGAATGTTCGCGATTTCTGTCAGATGTTGGACTGGACTATCCCTGAGTCACTCTCATTGTCGATAGTTCCTGTCGGTGATTGTAACGAATGGATCGAGAGAGTATATTGGGATCGATCGACTCCTGACGAGTCTATTATTCTCGAATAGGACTGAGAACAGGGCTCAGGAGCGAGCCTTTATATGGAGAGAAATCGCACCCATGTCTGGGGAGCTACGTAAGTCCTCAGTTATGGATCCCTAGGCTCACTTCCCAGACCTAGACTCCGAGAACAATGACTCATTCTCTCGGTCGAGCTAGAGGGAAAGTCCCGAGTGGGAAATGATGAAGCAGAAACTCTCCGGGAGCGGACCTAGATTCATGAGCGGGAAAACGATGAAATTCGAAATTTACTCACGCGTAGAGACTCTCAAGACGCTGACGCACGGGCCGAGGCATGACATTGTCAAGATCCTCGAAAGTGTTGACCTCGATACCGAAGCATCCCTTGAGATAATCGGCGTATCCCCGGAGACCGTGATCTCTGCCGCGCTGGATGTTCAGTGCGATCAGATCCAAGCCGAACGTTTCGTTCGACAAACGGTAGAGATGATTCGTCACATCGTGGGTGATGAAATTGTCGAAGACCTGGGACGCCTGCTTTTGGAGACCTCGCATAATCCTCTCCATTTTGCCGGTACGGAATTCGAAGGGTTTGAAGAAGTTGTCCTGGAGCTTAATGCGCTTGATGTTGCCGTGAGGATCGACTTCCATGAAGTGACCGTTGAGGATCGTGTGTCCGAATCGGAACACGGCTCCGGCGAATTCGTTCAGTACCGAAGGGTCAATGTTCTTGTTGTATGTCGTATATCCGTAGGGCAGAGTTTCGAGTCCGAATTCCCTGTAGAAAGCCTTGCCGAGAATGAGGGGCAAGAACTCCTGGTATGTGATGTGCTGGATTTGAGCGATTACGATGCGCCTATAAGATCAAGCAGCGATTAGTGACCAGACCGCATCGATGCGTAAAACCTCCACCGAGAGCTTTTAGTCCAAACGGATACGAAACAGCAACAAGTATTTAACGATAAAAGAGCTGCGGTTGACGAGCTCCAATTAATTAGGTAGGGTCCTCAACCAGCGAATCTATTCCCAGCTAGTTCATGTAGCTCGTTGTTCGATGAAGATCTATCGATTCAACCAATCAATCAGCCAGTCAGTCAATCAAATATAGTAGTTATCGATGAACCAACCAATTAAACACCGGTCGCAACAACGACTAGACGCAAGGCAACACAACATTCAGGTCCACGAGGAACATATCGGCGAAGACGAAACTTTAAAGTGGAATCTCGACAAATTCATTTTAAAGTTCAACACAGACGAGCGGACTGCCCAGGGTCCTTGACCCTGAGCTTTAGGGACAGACTGGGAACGATGTTTATTTCCACAAAGGAACGAAATTGCCTGAATTGACGAATTGTCGCCGCCAAGTGTCCAGACGTGATATCCGGTGCTGCTGTTGCGGACCCGCTGCCGCTCGGAAACACCCGGAGTTCGCCGGTTCCCCCGATATCCTCGCTCAGTTCCCTTGTGGGAGGTCCCCGATACAAGCAGCGGCAGCAGCAGCAGCAGGTCAATGCCGGCAGCTGTGCGACTCGTTCCGTGAACCGAGAAACTCGATGGAAACAGCACAGACTTCCAGCGATTTTCCTCCAGGAAGAAATAAATGACCCGAGAGACGACAGAACGGACCGATGAGCCGGCGTCCGTCGTTTCCATATGAAAGAAGAGTGAACGAGATGGCGCTATCGACTTTTCGGGAGTTTCGAATGGGAAAATGCCCTTTTCCCAATCGCGTCTTCTTGCCGAAGAGTCGAATGTCCGTGAAGGTTTCTCCACCATTCGATCACGTAGTTTCGTCTGGGCTCTCCATTCTGAATTTCAAATGTTTATTCCCATGGTGGGTCCGCGAGGATTCGGAGAAGACGAGCCCCCGCTCGGTGGGAGTCCTTACTACAATCTCTGACACCATCATATCAGTGGAGTCGGGAGAAATGACGAGGACCGGTCGCTCTTGAGAGTTTTCAGCTCCTACCACGGTCATTGCTTCCTCAAGTTTTAGACTCTTAAGGTTCTTCCAAGGGCGGAGTCTCCGCTCTTCCGATGATTTCGACAATGGTTCTTATCATTTGATCATTTTCAGTCTCAGATGCATATGACAAACCTGGCTTCCTGGAATATTCTCTCGTCGTCCCAGTGAGGGTTGAGACGAGCCAGTTTGTCGGCGATCGTGTTGTGGTGCCGCAACCAAAGGGTGTGCATAGCGGTGAGACCGGGCTGTTCGTTCACACGCTCGTCTCCTGAAAAAAAAGTAGAACCGAATGGTAAAGAGTCGAGGCACATTTTCTGATCTAATTGGAGGTTGAACTATATTTCGTGAGGACAGGCTCAACGCGCGTGCGACCCGAGGGCAGAGATGATCGCTGCGCGGAACGGAGAACAAGAGCCATGCGGCGAACATTGCGGAACTCACCGGCTCTGAAACAGAGGTCTCCTTCTTCGGGTCGGGAGCACCTGTCTCTGGTGGGGTGGAAAGAGGCGGGAAGGATCATGTCACCGCGTTGACCGACGTCGAACTTGAGACGACCATCGCCAGAGAGCGTACGCAACCTGTATGTGTCTTCTTGGTTGCTACCGTAAATATTCGAGCCGTCAATGTACGAGGTGAGGGCGTCGATTTGCTGACGGGGACCTTTGGACGAGGAAATTTCCGATCAATTCCATCATTTTTCGATCATTATTTGAGTGAGGTGTACCGTTGACTCCAGGAACCCCTGTTTGTGTGTGCTTCTCAGTGAGGGGGAATGTCTCCCAAGTGACTCACCCAAGGCGCACTGCGGACACCGGGCCGATCGCGGGAAGTTCATGCAATGCTCTCCATACTTGCTGTAGAATTTATCGTTCTCCGGGATGTCGAACGAGAAGCATTTGGGATCATCACGTTTGTGTTCCGAACAACAGTCGACAACGTCGTTGGGATCTGCGAAATAAATCGATCGAATGTCAGACATTTCCTTTGACGGCCGCCACAAGATAGACGGGGACTGGAGAGGAGTCGGATGAACTCCGATTATTAAGGCGGATTCTTCGATGAGTGACCGAATGAACCTACTTCCGAGATCCACAATTTCTTCGGGGTGACTCATGATGGGAGAAAGCGCGAAGTCGTGGTCGAGGAACTGCCCCCACTGCATGAGCATGTGGGAGACGTGACGCGAAGGTCGGTCCAAATCGACGTGGATAGTCGTGGACACCAGCCGAGGGTTTGGAAGTTGGAGCCCAGTTTCGGAAATTCGCGGCATTGAGACACCTGAAAACTCGAATTGTGAGGCACAATCGGGGATAACTCACTCGAAGTACTCTCGTCGGACAATCAAAGGTGAGGAAGGGACCTTTCTTTCGTGTTTTTATGTTTTTCCATCTCTCATTTCATTCTTTATTTTCACCCTGCCTTAATTGAAAATTTCTGAAACTTCCAGGGGTCTAGGTCCCTTGGCTCGTGCGACTCGTGCTCCCAGCATTCGGTTCCCGGGTGACGAAAGGGCGCCGAAACGGTGCGACAAGAATCAGGCTCTATTCAACGTATCCCAACAGTCATAATAGCTCGAGACATCGTTATGCTTATACGGGGGTCGCAACGCCGTAATTTCGCGTTGTCACAAGGAACACGTTTCCCAGCGCTTGAGATCGAGCCAAGGGAACCGGGGAGCTCACAGATTACTTTCCTCTCCCAAGTCGCGATTTACGGAAGAATACGAGAAGCGATTTTTTCTGCTTTGATGTATGCCATCAAGTCATGAAGGCAGACGGAGGAAGTCGTCGGAAGACGATAAACTCCCCGACGAACGACATACCATCAGCGTATCTGGGCGGAAGGAGTCGACGGAGGCATGTGAACGCCTTGCCCCAATCGGGATGCTCGAGATTGTTGCAGGAACCGTCCGCAGTTCTGTAGGGCTTGTCCGTACAGATTATGTTCGAGTGATGATGGCACTGAGCAGCTGCGTGCTCTAGTTTCGAGCCGGCCAGATTGGCTCGGGCCAGGCCGTGGAACTCATCTTCCCAAAACATTTTCATCCTGTAAGCATTCGTTGATATTAGTGAACGAAATCGATCAATGATTAGCGTGTTGCACAATTTCTCATGAGGCGCCCAGCACTCAGGGCAGCGCGGAAATTCAGTGATTGAAAGTCGGATCTTTGGGTTTTCAGCTTTACTTTTTGGAAAGAACTTTGGTGGTCTCCTCGAATATCGTGCTCATGTCGTCCATATGCATGGCGGGACCTTTAGCAGCTCGGAACTGCATGTGACGTTGAGCAGCCGGACACATCGGGTATGCGTGAGCCTTGTTCGAGACTGTTCGTGAGGAAGAAATTAATTAACATTCGAGCGCAAGGGTTTTGACGCAGACTTCAGTTGTTTCGATGAATCACAGAATTTTTCCAACAATAATTGTCGCTCATACTCACGTGCTGCTCTCTCGAAAAGTTTCTGCTGAACGATTATAGTCTGGGCTTCGTCGACCGCCTGATCGATGAGGTGTGAATGAAGATCAGGAACCGTTGGCGATGTTGGGTCGACAGGGAAACTGATCTTTGGTCGCCAGAGCAAACCGGCATGGTCTGAATAGCCGAGCACCGAAGTGCCGAAGCACATTGTCAGGATGAAGAGTACCCTGCGGGGAGGAATGATGAAGCTTTGTGAGTTTTGGGCGATGTCTTCTCCGGAGCTTGAGCCTGTTACGCGAGTTCCGATTACGATATTCGACCTCGGGATATCGGGGATGATCGGAGCACTGAATCTCCGGGTAATCCCAAGGATCAGGCGGACGAACTTGGATCGCAACGCTTTGCGGATTAAAATGTGACATTCTCTGAGTTTCGCTACTATGACGAAAGTGTCAAACAAAGTCAGACACGCGTTTTTCGGCGAAGGCGATTATTGAAGCGGTTCTCATCCGGACTATTTCACCGACAGAAATCGATGTCACTGAAATGAGGTACAACGCCAATACTTCAACAAGATTTACTGGAAACTCGTTCGAAGCAAAACCAGGAGCGGCGCTGATTCCCCGTTCCTAATTCTGGGGAACTCGGCTCCAGCGACAACTCGAGGTACTCCGATTCTGGTGTGAATTGGGGCTTATATGGCGTAAGAAAACGAGACCTCAGCTCTGAGAGGGTGAATGTCCAGCGCGACAAAATGTGTGCAAAATTTCCGGGCTTGGTCGATAGGTGATTTCGTCGAATTCGAGGTGAATTACGCGGCATTCTAGCTCCATCAGGGCAAAGTGCAGCACAAATATCTTCGAATTTCATCGAAATCGCTGTCGTCGAGAGTCGAGCCGCGGTGCTCGGAATCGTGCCCGGCAACATCAGCGGACTCATATCACAAGGAAGGAAGCCATAGCAATTCGGGGTTATTTATCATTGCTTCAAATAAACAAATCCGAAACAGACGAGGCGAAACTACGGAATCCGCAGAAGAACGACTTTCCATTCCAGGACGAGCGGCAGAAGCAACGGCATCATGTCTCAAACTACAATGACCTTAACAAGGTCACTGTAAATTGCCGCTGCTTACAAGAAACAGAATGTGGGTTGTTTTGTCAAAACGGAGAAGCGAACACTCGTCTGCAACATGCGTGAGTCGGAGCGACTTGGCAAATTGAATTTGTGCCTTGTTCTGCTCGGAAGCAGTTGTGCGATAATCAAAACAGACACCGACTGAGGTCGCAATAACCAGGGTTTAACAATAATTAGGAGTTGGATCGGGCCGCAGTCCGAAACATATAATCGACGATCTAAGGATGGCAGCAACGATGACAATAGCGATTCCGATGATCGAACTCGGCTCTAAAGGTGAGTTGAAGGAACATCATCTTTAGACCCCAGGCTAAATTAAATCGTCATAACATAAGTTATTGCTGAAATCCTTTCGCAAGGAGACCTTCGTCGATAGCCGATATTGGTCGACTGAATCGTCGAATTTCGGATGTTAATTCCCGAAGCTGCCAAGGTCGCATTTTGGATATCATTCTGCATGACTAGACGCCGGTCCTGCCACGTGCCAAAAATGACAAAACAATCGGGACGAATCCTGAGAAACTTGATCGCGAGACTCGTGTGGCGGAAGATGCGCTTTTACAAGCGAGTGCTTTCCAATCGTCAGCTGGGTGAACTTGGAAACGGTAGAGTTTCCCCCGTCAGCGAACGAGTTGACAACGCAAAGAGAAATCCACCGCGAAATTTAGCGGACGAGCTGTTCCAGAAAAGAACACCGTATCCGAAGTCACTTGCGCCTATGGGAAATTTTGTGCGCGTTATTTAGTGGGTCCTCGTCTCGCTGCTTTCCATTTTCGCCTGACTGTGAGGTCAACATTTCGATGGATACACGTCAGCTCAGGGCGTCGTCTGGATGATATCGATCAGAAATTTCAAAAACTCCCCTTTTTTGTGCAGCCCCGTCATAGCGAGCTCTCAGAAGCCAGAAAGCCGTTGCTCTTCCTGTTTCGGACTCCGGGTCGAGGTGAAAACCTCTCCATTAGGAGCTGAGCATATAACATCGAGGGAGTTATCTATTTCTTCCAAGGTTCTCGCTTCTGAGCCTTACATTGGGAGCTCTTTCAAAACTCGCGGTCCTCAGGTCCGTATTCTGTAGGTTTCGAAATTTTCAGCGGAAACTAAGACGGAAGATGATGACAGGCGTGGAGCTGGTCTGATGGGCAAATAGACGATCTAGATATTTTGCCAACAGCCGCTCGAGGAGAATATAGCGTGAAATCGGTATAGTGCTGTTCGAGAATTCCGCGAAAACGCACCGTTGTGTCTGCTGACCTCACGACTTGCCCGTCTTCAAATTTCAAACGAGGCATGAACGTATCTCTTCGTAGCGGCTTATGAATCCGCGTAATAAACGAGCGGACTTCTTTCAATCCAGGTCTAAAAGAAAAAAAAACGGCTCACGATCGTGTGCGAGGCCGTACAGAACGAGAGAAAGGAAGAAAAAACGGATCGGAATCGCCAGGAGTCATTTGGTTTCGTCCGGAAGATTGATGAAAACCAAGTCAAGAAACATTCCAAAAGTGAAGGATTTCTTACTCGGATCCCGCTGAACATCGTCAGCGAAGACATTCGTCGGAAACGCTCACCGAACAAGAAGTTCGCGCGAAGCCCCACTCAGCAGAAATTTCTGCTTTGCGTGCCGTGAGCGATTTTCGAAACAAAAGTTTTTGGAATGCTCCGTTTTAATCTTTCCAGATCAACTGCCAGAATCTTACATCATCATCAACGATAAATTGAACCGATCACAACAAACAAAGTGATCAACAGCAGGTTCTCAAGGAGCAGCTACCATTCAGGAAGCTTCAATTGTAACATTTTATGCGCTTCGTCTGAACAACGTAGGTCAATGTCGCGCTTGTTGCCGTAATGAAAGTACCTACTTATTTGTGATGATTCATTGTGATTTATGATTTAGTTTAGCTCTTCGCTGCCAATTTAGCCATGATTCTCTTATTCGGTTTCGAATCACGTCTCATCCTTTTCGGGTAAAAAGTTTTGAGCTCGGAGTATGTCCAGAACAGGAAAATGTAGAGAGCGAGTGTCTAGAACGTCAGAGAGAGAGGTCGAGCTCTCCTCCCGGGCCTTGATTGACACCCAGGAATGTCTGGAGTCTTAGATCCTTTTTTCCGTGTCTGGCCGATTTCGCTAGCGCATTGGAATTGCAGCAGACCGAAATTCCGAGAGACTCTCGGTCTACGTGAAAACTAGCGGTATATTTTCGCGCATTCCACATCGCGGTTCCAGTCAAGCAAGCGAAGAATCCACCCGAGATGGTCATTCGAGCATCGAAGCCCTCGGTCAAAGTGTTCATCAAGAGATATTTCGCTGACACAGATCGATTGCCATGATAATGCGCATTTGTTTGCACGGGCAGACCCGGCCTTAACGGATCGAGATCAAGGAGTTCCTTTTTGTGTCTTCCATCCCCGTTCCGAATCGAGTTCTGCATTGATTTCCATTTGTGAGCTCCCGACCCCCTCAAACGGAAACTCCGATAGACGAGCGGGAGCCGCGAAAAGCCGAATAGCTTTCCCAAACGCGCTACACCATGAATGGAGGTCGTTGATCGTTATGCAGCTCGAGTTCCCCATGATATGGATTCTAACAAGATTCTCACTCACGAAATCGCGTCCTTCATGAGCGTCATAATTTCACTCGGTGACGAGAAAAAAAATCATCTACTTAACCTCTCACTTAATCTCGCGTGAAACGAATCGTGGGTGCTCGTCGTGAAGGAAAGTGCGGAATTTCAGAAGACTCCTTCGCGCGCCCAAGTAGTTCATGAGCAAGGCCGGCATCTTTTGACCCATGGCGAAAGCCCGGCTCTCAAGATGCCCGTGGAAGCTAGGATGAATACTCCCCTTTTCGGCCGCGATGGCTCAACAACTCCTCGACCAATTATACCTTCGAACCGTCTAGCTGTCGGACAGACCGTCTGACCAAACATAGCAGGGACGATAGGCTATATAATGCAGGCGCGACCCGTGTCTACTCTTAATCCATGAGCAGCTGGAAACAATGCTGGCGAGGCATGGCAACGACCTATTCTCTCCTTCTTCTCCATTCGTGATCAGCCACGAAGAGAGATGGCTGCACGCACGTTCACGTAAACTCTCAAAGACGGTAGCGAGTTACAAGGAGCATGGCGGACGCACAACAGAGACTTCACACGACAGACGCCTATTCAAGTATCACAGGCCAAGCATTGACCTAGGGCCGAGGACTGGAGGGAATAGAAGCGCCAGTAAGCGATGAGTACGAAGATACGGATTCTATCAGTCCGGGAGGATAGGATTCGTTCTAAGGATTCTCGCCGCTTGCGCCTCCCATCGGGAACTCCGTTCTCCGGCGATTCGTTTCATTCTCCTAGTGAGGAACGAGCCTCATCGCATGTGACCACGGAATCAATAAGGTGTCGACGGGAGCATCCGCGGCGCAGAGTAAGCGGGGGCATACTTGGTTCCTGATCACGGCCACGAAACGAGAAAGCCGAAATGAATAATTAGGCACAGGAAGGAATGATAGAAACCAGTATTCCGTTTTCGGCGGGAGCATCCGTCGGCTTCCCTGTGGGCGAAATTGTTGTGTATTTCTGGTCGAGGCACGCTCAGTACGATTGCAATGGCTCTCTCGGTCATCTCGTAGCGCTTGGACGCTAGATTACTGGCAGCGAGGCGGTCGAGGGATGGATCGACCGGCCGACCGTCCGTATTCCCCTCCGTCCGACAATCTGTCTTCTCGTCGTACGAAGAGGAATCGCTCCTCCGAATACATTGTATGCTGACGATGCATCCTTTTTTCCGAATCAGGGGAGTCGAGCATCCTCCGACTTGCGAGCGACGAAGACTTCTGAGACGACACGGCGACGACAACGGATCTAGATTGATAAAGAGAGCGTTGTGCCGACGTACGGCAATGCGTCGTTCGGTTTCGCTCGATATTGCTGCGAGCAGTCTCGCTCCATTAGTTGAGTCAGTCCGTCGGTCCGCGGTCACTGTATTTGTTCGACTGGACCGTCCACCAGTGGACTAGATAGGCGACATCAATCGTTGTACCACAAACGGTCGTCGTCATCTACTAGTTTGCCAGCAAAATATCTGCCCGTCGCGTAAAATTCGGATGCCGACAGCGACCTTGGAAGCTTCGCGGACCTAATGGCTTCTGCGGCATGAGCGGCACAACTCGAACACATCTCATGTAAGAAGACATAACGAGAGCGCCGAGGGCAACATTGATTTCCAAGATGAAACACCGATAAAAATCATCATCAATTTCGATCGCTGTAGCGGCCGAGACAATAAGGGCGAGGGGTTCTCACGTCGGCCTCTGGGCATTCATTCAAGCACGGGACACGATTTTCGAAGGGAGAGAAACGGCCGGAAAGTATTTACGTTTACGGAATCGTGCCCACACACTTAACCCAGGAAGACAGTACGCGGACGCGCGTGAAAGTAGCCGATAAATTCCAGTGAATTCCGGCGGATCTACTTTCTTCTTATCACACTGATCGCAGCACGGACTTTGGGGAAAGCCCCCCTTCAAGAGTGCAATATTCTATGGCTCGTCCGTGAATTCCTCCTGAGTAGCTCGGAGCGCGAAATAGACCTATGCAAGAAAAAACGCAAGAGTGGAATCGACTCCTCTGTCGGAACACTGAATGAATGTGAATGTGCAGAAAGATTTCTGATGGGAACTTCGGACTCACCTCATTTTCTCAACTCTGTCTGATGGCTGCCGTGGTGTTGCCTGAAAAAAGAAAAATATCTTTCAACCACATTGCAAGGTGACAGAACCTCTACTGGACGTTCGGGCTTAGCGCTTGGAACAGTGTCCGCCGACTGCAGACATCGCCGGTGGCTCGGACTCTGATGCGAATATCAAACCCGAACTTTTTGCACGTGTATTACGTATTCTCCGTACGGAAGACTCCGAGCTGATAACGTTCGGGAACACCGTGAGGGAATTCCGAGCTTCGCCCCGGACAATTAGCTGCGCCCACTCCCTTGTCGAGCAAATTCTATACACAGAGGCATCGATGCGGAAATTCCTGCCGTTACTCTGTAGGATGAATGACCGTAGCGGCAGAGCTCTCCTCGCTGTATCGAGAAAGAAAATGAATACGGGGAGGCCTCTCTGTATTGGAGCCTTCGATGAGCTCGACATGAGACTCAAGGGGATATATCGAGACGAAGGGAGGTCCGGCGATCTCGGAAGTTACTTCGCGGAAATCCCGCGTGAGAATTACGCAACTTCAGCGCCGTCCCATCTCTCTTTAGGGTTCACGGATTTTATGCGGTCGAGAACCATCAAGTGGTTAGCATTAGGTACGTTTCCACGTAAGCGTCCGCGTAATGGAAGTGCGGTCGACCGCGTGCGTACAACACCTGAGGCTCCGAAAAGAGAGAAATCTCATCAATGGCTTTTGAATGCGCTACGGTATTTTGTCCATTGTTCAACGTAAGCGTTCGCTCATCCAGAATTGTGACACGCTCTGACCTCACCGACGAATCGCGTGGTCCGTCCGACGATGGTTACACGACCGGCTCGGGCGGTGGAGCACGCGAAGAAAGCAAGGAGAGTTGAATAAAAAAATCACATCATCATCATCAATGTCGCTCCGGATCGGAAGTAACGGGTGACGCTGGCGCCAAATCCCGTCGACGACAATGTAACGGAAATGACCCGGAATCATCGTGGACGACCGGCCACAAACAGACCGTAGCCGGATGGATAGACGGACAAGCGAAGCACCGGTCGGGCGAACGATGGCTCGCGGGGCAGGCAGGTAAACCACGTCGCGTCGCTCAGCGGCCGTTGCTCTGCCGAATCGCCCCCTCATCGTCCGAAGTACCGAGCGAATCAGCGACCGGAATCGGTCGTCTAATTCATTCGTATGCGGGTAAAACACTGCTCACCCCTAGCCATACTGCATCTTCAGCGGTGCCTGTTGCTTTCGCCGCGGGCAACGCAACTGCCCCTGTGGCGACGCAACCTTGCCGTAGGGCTTGTCCGGTGATGACGGACGAATAGAATGGAGTCCGAACGGAACCAGAGAGGAACTTTGTCGAATGAAACTGTACGGACACGACCGGAAGTGGGGTACGGAACAATTGAATGATGGAAATCATGGCAAGCAGAAGATTATTTGTCGCATATGTAACACCACCAAGCATTCGAGGGAAGGTCCGACCGGCGAAGGCTGCCGACTAAGCGTGAAATGTACAACTAACTCGTTGTCAAATCGCTCCGGGCTCCTCGTATTTCACGGTACGGTTGATGGTGTGAAGCCTTTTAGAAGACACTGACCAGAACAGTCGCACCCAAAACCCGACACTGCCTCTATTCGAATCAAGTTTCTGATTCCAGGCAAGGTGACTTGGTGCTTATTCTCCCGGAGGCGACTACTTCGCATAACTCCGGAAGTACGTCAATGTGCCTCAAAGTACACACATACGGTCTCTTCTGGTTCCTCGCAGTGAGCTGTATGGGGAGAGCTTCTGCGATTTGAAATTATAGTTCGCCGTCATCATACCTAATTATAGTTAGTCCGTTTCCCCTAATCAGCATATCGAACAAAAGATCCCCCGTCGCATATTTCTTATTCAAGCCTCAGGTGATTCATATCAGGACTATAAGGTTCTTATCGAAGATTCCGCGTTCCCATCAGATCCTTCTGAATTCACTCGTTGCTTAACATTCACGGTAGGAGTACCTTATCATCAGACGCTGTTGCGTGAGACTACATCAACTCGAGTAAGTTGACCCGTCCCGCGGCAAATAGATGCGGGGTGTAGCATTACGCACACCATGTCAAAGCCCACCGACGAGTTGTCTAATTATATGTACGACGATAACTCAGCCTTTGAACATTTTGTGGAATTGCTTCCTTATGTTCCTGCTGATGACGTCATTGGCTGCGACCGGCTCCAAAGTCGTCCGTCCGAGCGGGGATGCTACGCGAAAACTTCTTCATACGGCAGCGTTTCGGGGAACGGCTGACCGGCGGGTCGGTCGTTGCGTGGCATAAATACAACGTTACGTCGATGTGCGTTCCGACTAATCAAACTGCTAACAGGTCGTAAGGCTCGCGCGGACGGCTATTCAGCCAGCTAACCGAGCGAGCGACTGGCTGCGCGGTACGCTGCTATAGCTCGCCGTTGCAGTGGAGCAGCACACTTCGCAATCCGATCCGATCTTCGCGGTGAAGCGGGCTGTGGATCACCGAGCTTCGCAATCCGCTAGCAGACACTTTGAATCTCACGGAAGGGACAGTCAGCGATTGAAACACCCATGTCGTTCGTCGACGTCGCCTCGTGGATGCTGGTCTCATGGAAAAGAGAACTGATACACCTGACCATCGAGTGACCTCTACGCGCGGGCGCGCGCACGCATCTCAAGGCCGATGAAGGTCGTTGAGGAGCAGGCGGAGGAAGCAACCAGCACGAAGGAAAATGATTAATTCCTATCGGACATTCCAGAGCAGCATGTGCCGTTTTTCTGGCTTATCCAGCGGCGGCGAAGACGACGCCTTCATCGGCACTTTTTCGTGGGTCGTTTCCTGAGAGTGCCATTGAGCATATCGATTCAACGACGACGACGTCGTCTACAAACGTAGCATTGAACAGGATGGCTGTGTCTGGCCGAATTTCATCATCGACAGCACTCTGATCGGATGAAGGAGCGAAAACTTAGCCAACGCCTAATGCGCAGTCATTGAAAACTCGGAGCGATCAAATACCGATGCCGCAAACGGAACAGAACAGCGCCACTGGATTCCGACTGCATTGGTGAATGCATGAAAGGGCTCAGCTCAAGGGACAGGCTTCCTGGTCCCTACCAGCAGGTCACGATGGTGCGCGAGCTGTTTCTGGAGGATACGAACCCTGATTCTCGAAAACTGTCAGGTTTGACTCGCGGCGTGATCGGATATAGCTTCATCGGGCAAACAACAAGTCGGACTCCCGTCGAAGACGACCGGCTAATGACCAGAATAAGTCCATCGGTTCGCCAATGAATTCAGTACGACGAGGAACATTATATGTACGTGGAGCCAGCCAGCGGTGGGAGGCAAGAAAAAATCATGCAAAAAAACTAAGCGTATCATCACCGTCGCCTTCTGCCGAGTTCGAAAACACGTCCAGCGAATCGGTGAGCCGATCGCTGTTTTTTGTGTGCAACTAAATTTATTCTCGACGGCTATTTTTCCACTTCCTTCAGTGTTCGTCGTCGTTTCAATAATTTCGATTGTCCGTCGCGATGCGGCGACCGTGACCAGCCGCAAGACGCGTCGTTTCGATGTCGAGTTTTTTTTACTTTCCAGCCGTTTGTTTCCTGCCTTAAGCGAAGGATCCGATGCCGAGGAGAAGAAAAGGAAAGCTGATTTTACAAGGTAGAAAAATTGGCTGCCGGCTCCGAGTCTTTCCCGCCGTTTCTGGATGCGCCCAGACACGTCTGCGTGATGCGACTTCAGAAGAACTTGAAGCGGCTAACGGTACATCTCCGAACAGCTTTCGCGATGACGCGGTATGACGTCACTCGATTTCTCGATCCGAAGAGCTCGAACCATCGAGGGAACGAGTGTAACAAGCGTGAAGACAAGGACTGCTCCAGATGTATCATCGTAATCACTTCGGTCGAGTTCTGCTCGCTTCGGTCGCGTCCAGCTCGATCCGGATCCCAAATAGACAAATCCGCAAAAGTCGGCAGATTACGGTCACCTTGTAGGGTGACTTACTAAAACACTGATTTGTGGCTGTCATTGATGGAGAATGAGAGGCGCAGATCCAGAAGGACCCCCTATTGGAACTAGTGGAAACGACTCATGACGATTGATATCAGCGTCGGTTTGTCGAATTAGCGATCGTTTGTTTGATGTTGACAATATTATCAAGTCGTGGGCCAATACGAGGCAGGTCTTCTGCGTCCGCTGGGAAAACATAGACGACGACCTACGGCGAAATCCACCGGTCTGGTAACTGTGATTTGCCTCGGATTCTTCGATACTCGGACAATCGTTGGTACGCCTGATCGGTAAGTGAATGTTCTGGGTCTCCGCACGAACGCAACATCTCACGTCGGGGAAGCAGGGACCCTGTCGGGAATTCGAATACAGTGGTCAGATGGGCGGTGATCTGACGAAGGGGCAGAAATTCGAAAATCATACATCGGACAGAAATAAAGACAAAAGTCATCGAGTTCCTCGAACAGACTCGCTGGGGTCATGTACGAGACGTAGCGAAGATCTCTGACTCTTAGGGTGCTCCGAATCGTCCGCTTATCATCGAAATCAAGAGAAAGAAATATGAAATTATGAGATCGGCGTCTGTCTTAGGAAGGAGATATCGTGATGAGCTAAGATTGACCAAGATTGGTTGCCTCTCCTAGAACGTTTCTACAACGATACCGACTCTGAGCGATCCCTCGGATACCATGAGCTCGCAATTCTCGCCCATCTGTTTCTCAGCGGCAGAACAGAGATCCGTCCCGCTGAATCCGCAGATAATTCTCGATGGAATCGAACCCCCTCCGCCACCCGGGTGATAGAACGTTCACGGTCATCTATCCACTGAATACTCTGATGGGCAACTCCTCAGGCAAGATTCCCACGATGATGACTGCTGACGAAATGATGGAGGTTCCTCTGGTCATTGAGAGCAGTATCACGCGAGCAGCGAACCTCACGACTAGTCACAATGAAAGGAGCGAGGATCTCAGATGTATGCAGCCTCATTACTGTATTGAGAGAA